ACGTTTATTATTTTTATAATTTACACCGTTCCTGTATTTTCACATTCCCTTTACATTCAATTTCAAAATTATATGCATTTATATGTATGTGTATAATATGTACGTAGTGTAGTTATGTAGTATGCAGTTAGTATAGATATAGATAGATATATACAGTGAGTAAGGATGCATAATGTCTGGACATTTCGATCAGAGTGATGTGCATTCAGGAATGAACAACAAGATTTGAGGCAATTTGAGGAATTTCTCCTGATTTCTCCGCAGCAGAGACCTGCAGGTGAGAGCTGTGTGAAAGACTGCACAGTGAGACGCAAGAGTGGTGCAAGTACGTCGATTGACGATTCAAGTTTGAATCTTTAAAGTAAAGATGCTGACTGTACAAATAAGCACAGCTCGTGGAACGAAACAGATTTTTACTACCAATAGACAACTTAAAATCGATACATTGCGCGATTGCATCCAAGGATTAATAGTGAGTAGCTGTTTCTCGTTTAAAGTAAATTAACACGCTGCGAATCACCGAAGACACGGATGAAATTTCAATCTTTCGTTACAGGAGGACTTTTACGTTGTACACAATGGAAGGCTTGTGAGTGCAGATGCTATTTGCTACGATGGATACGTTTCGATCGTACCACGACTGTTCGGTGGGAAAGGTGGGTTTGGCTCCATGCTGCGAGCGATCGGAGCACAGATCGAGAAGACCACGAATCGCGAAGCTTGTCGAGACTTGAGCGGACGTCGACTTCGCGACATCAACGAAGAAAAGAGGCTGAAAGCTTGGATAGAGAAACAAGGAAAGCGAGAAGAGGAAGCGGTAGAACGTAAGAAGAAGAAATTGGAGAGACTTTGTGCCGAACCAAAACACGAGTTTAAAGACCAGACTTACGAACGTGAGAGATCGGCGCTCACGGAAAGACTTGGGGACGCGGTCGAGCAAGGCTTTAAGTTCGCCTCCACCGATACAAAAAGGAAGAGGGGCAGCAGCAGCGAACAACAATTTAGACCAAACAAGAAGAAATTGTTGTTAGATCTAGACATCAACTCGGACGAATTCGACACTTCGGATGAGAGCGACGAGGATGAAAAGAAATGTGAAGAAAGTGGGAAATCCATCGATGTAGAGCCGGTATCGAACAATGACGACAGTGGTCACTCTAGCGACGGGAGCAGAGGATCTGTGCAAAAGACTGAGACAGAAGTTGAACGACCAAAAGGAAATGCTGACGATGAGAGTACTAAAAAGGACTCGAACGTTAGCATGGATGAAAAAACGGTTTCGGTATGAATCAGGTAGTTTTTTTTTTATGGTATCTATGAAAAATTTCCGTACATAATGAAATGTATTACGTTGCTTAGAATTGTGAAACGCAGGAAGCATGAATATTAATTTTTATAATAAAAGTGAACAGACAAAAAAAGTTTATTGTTCGTAGTACGTATACAATCGGTTAGATCAACTTCCAGGCAGTCAATTCACTGGCGAGTTTGATTCCCACCGCGAACAAGGCCATCGATGCAACGAGTGATTTTATATAGTTCCTAAGTAATTCTTCGCACTTGTATCTGTGAATCCACTTACGAAGATGTTTCGCGTATCTCGAGGCAAGGAAATACAACGAATCATTTCCTATGTGTTTCTTCTCGATTTGTGTATTTACCGCGTGTACCAGAGCACCCAGGCAGATATAGTAACGAGACTTATATTTCTTTCTTAACGGCAGGACATGCTGGAACAACGAATACCGATACGTTTCCTTTAACTGATCGATGTAATCAAAATGTGGTCAACGATGAAGATCGAGACGATCGTTATATCATCGTTATAGATCGTTATATACTCGGCTGAATCTTACGTCCTTACGAACACTCTCTTTTTTATCGGAGGCTACATTATTTGACAAAGGCACGGTTGTACAGCTGGAATCCGAGGCCATTTCTCTTAAAAATTTATCTCGTTTGTATTTTGCTACATAACGACGACGATATCAAATTCGAAACGAAAATACATGTTGGATAAAAGCGAGGAGCATCGAGGTTGACGATGTTCTTTTGCCTAATTCCAAAGAGTAAAAACAAAAACAGAATATTGCTGGAATGATCATGATCAGCACGAAAACGTTCCGTTTCCGAACCTTGTTATTCATTTCTTCTTCCTCGGAATGGAACAAATAAGTAAATTACATCGCTGCAGTGGTAATTCCCCAGTAAGAAGGAAAACCAAGCTCGATTGCGCAAATACGTAGCGGACAACAAATATGTTAATTTTTACTTTCGAAAAATCAGGCTTATCACTCATTACTCATCACTGATTACTCCGATGAGTTGACGCAATCAGCAATCGTTCAAAATGTGAGAAAATAAATGGTTTACGTCAGAAAAGGAATGCCGAGGATGAAACGATCGAAAGATGCGGGAATCGGAGGAGAATGATCAGTCGTTGTCGCTCATCCTCGACAGGCGTAAGAACAGTAGTGCGGGCGGAGTTGTGGGGGAGGGGGGTTAACCAGTCGACCCTGGCTCCGGTCATCTCATCGACTCGCATACATGTAAAATTGTAGATATATCGTAGTACCGTGCCATCGTCAGTCGATGTAACGATCTCGGACGTGACGGTTGTTAAACTTCTCGGCGTTCAATAATATACGTTCTACATTAGTAAATGTTAAGTGAAAATCATTAACTTGTTCATTTCTCTAAATGTCATTGGTCACTGCAGATAAAAAATGATTAACTCGTTCTCTGTAGCTGTTTTGCACACGATTACAATTAGCTGTGCGGTCGCACGTGAGTAAAATTTGTCGATCAAATCGATTGATCGTTGACACGTTTTCAAATCAGTCAAATAATTGCGCTTCCAGAATTACAGGGACAGTCGGATTGCGTGACGCCGAATCGTGCACCCGGTTTGTGCATCGGAATACGAAACTGTCCGCAGTTGTTGAACGCCTTGCAAGCGCGTCCCCTTCAACCCAAAGTGGTAGACTTTCTGAGAGAATCGCAATGCGGCTTCGAGGGGAGCGATCCCCGAGTCTGTTGTCCTTTCCAAAGCGGCGGCGGTGACGGCTACGAAAATCGGGACGGGGGAACCGATTCGTTCAATCCCTTCTTCCAGCAACAAGACTTTGGAGGAAACAATGGAAACGCCAACAATGCGAATTTGCAATATGACTTGTCTAACAATCCGTTGCTTCCCACCGATTGCGGCAAGGATTTGTCCCAAAGAATCGTCGGTGGCGAACGGACGGAGTTAGACGAGTTTCCTTGGATGGCGCTCTTGGAATACGTTAGACGTAAGAATCTGAATGAACAAAAAAGAAAAATTAGAATCACCTTCTCGTATCGATCGACTCTTCCGTCCAGTCGTTCTTCCTTTACTACGAATCATAAAACGACCAAGATCATCGATTAAACGGCGAGCATGAAATTGTATCTTTTCTAGCAACCGGAAAATCCTTGTCCTGCGGTGGGGTTCTCATCAGCCGTCGTTACGTCCTGACGGCGGCTCATTGCATCAAGGGGAAGGACATGCCCAGCACGTGGCGACTGGAAAGCGTCCGTTTGGGCGAATACGACACGAGCAGCGACAGGGATTGCATTCAGGACGGCGAAGATAGCGTGATCTGTGCGGACGATCCCGTTACGATTGGGATCGAGGAGCAAATCACTCACGAGAACTATCGGCCAACGGCCAGAGATCAAAGATACGATATCGCGCTGTTGAGACTGGCTCGAGACGTTGTCTTCACCAATTATATCAAACCTATTTGTCTACCGCCGAGCTCCGTGATTGGGAAAAAAGTGTTCGTTGCCGGTTGGGGAAAAACGGAAAACGGTTCGTCGTCGAACGTTAAATTGAAACTGGGGCTGCCGTTGTCCGACGCGGAACAATGCCAGTCGACTTACGGTAGCGCGGGCTTGACGCTCGGTTATGGCCAATTCTGTGCCGGTGGCCAGAAGGGCAAAGATTCGTGCAGGGGAGATTCCGGGGGACCGCTAATGTCCGTGGACCGAGACCGCGACGGTAACGGGAAATGGACGGCCGTCGGCATCGTCTCTTTCGGACCGTCGCCTTGCGGTATGGCTGGATGGCCCGGCGTTTATACTCGGGTGGCCGATTTCGTGCCTTGGATACTCAGTAAAATGAGACTTTGAGGAGGTCCCTCTCGAAGATACTACATTTTCATTACTAGATCAGCGGGTTCTATGCGTTTGGCGTTTACACGAACGTACTCAACGTTACGAGTCGCTCGTGTTACTGTAATTACGAAATAATTATCAATAAAAAAGATGACACTATTTCCTGGTATTCCGCAGAAACGTCAATATTTCTCTACTAACTGTGCATGCACGGTGTTTACGTTATTGCGAAAGGCTATCGTCGTCGCCGTCATCGTCGTCGTCGTCGTCGTATCGGTTTCAAGGGTTATCGTTCTTGCCTCGTTCGCAGTGCTCACAGAAAACATTACCCCAAGTGCGCAAATGTTAGGTACTGCTTTTCAATTTCCGTCGTATCGAGTAATGATCGTTATACTACAGACCACGAATTCCATTGCATTCATTTGCGTTTTCTCGCGTGACGCAAAGTTCGTAGCAACAGAATACTTTCTACATACACACGAATGTATACACGTATGTATCGTATACATACGTGTGTATAGGTACTAAGTCGGAGCTGGAAATCCCTGGCTCGGAGATGACTATTAAACACGCATTCTCAGAATTAAGATCGTAATACGATGTAAAATGCGTGGTAGAACGGAAAAATAGGAAAATGCGCGTCGATTATCTCCGTTTCAGTTAGCTGTCCGACTATCAGCCGTGATTACGTCTCTTGTACATCAAAAGAATCAATTGGTCAAGAAAACAAGCTTTTGCTATTCAGCAATTAAAAATGTTGGAAGAATTTTCCTTATAGCCCCTTCCACGTCGTAACTTCTTTTTGTGAGGGGACAAGAAGAAGGATTTTAACGAGCTCTGCAGATGGCAGCGCAGCAGTTAGTATGCGAAGGACTATCGCGCGAGCCGGTTTGTTGCGAAATCACAAGTACATGCGACACCTGGACGGTTTTCAAAACTGGTTTGTCCGCTTCGTCGGATGATTTGAAAAATTCCAACCACAAGACCCTGCCGTATTTCACGTAGTCGACCTTCCGATTCGCACGGGAAGCGAAAAAAACCCAAGGACCATTTTATACCGAACGCAAATGCATATATTGGACCAAACGATTCGTTCGAGCAAGTATACCGACATGATACAACGTATAGTTTTATTTGGACTTCTGTTCTTAAGCGGAACCAGTAGTGCGCGTAAGTAAAACGATGCTTCTACCGATACTACTACCGATTTTTCAACCGTACTGCGATCGGAAAAATATATACTCTTTATTTCCTGTTTTATGATATAAAAAAATAATTATTAAGTGAAGTAAACGATCTATTAGCGCGCGCGCGCGCGCCCGCGTTACCGTCGAGAAAACGGCATACGATCTACGGATCGACAGATAAGTCTCTTTACGCCCGTGCACTTGCTCTACGATGCGTTGGTCGTAATCTTTTAATTCCGTCATGTCGTGACACATGATTCTTCTACGTACTATCGTCGATATATAGTCGATAATCCATACATACAGTACATCTGCTGCTGCGAAACGCTGTCTTGCACGTATTAAAATGACAACGACGCGCACGCGCGCGCGCGCGCGATGTCTTTCGTTCTCTCGTAAGGTGTCAAGAAAGGAATTCGACGATCGATTTTCGTCCACGAGGCGGTCAGGCGACGGGATCGCTTTATTAAACGAAGAATTTGATATTTATAGAAGACAGCTGTATCATACCAGACAATAAATTAGGTGTTTGCATCAACATCCACAATTGCCAACCAGTATTAGATATTCTTAGACAACAACAACCGTTGTCGCGAGAAACTCTCGCATACTTGCACGGTTTACAATGCGGATTCGAGGGCAAGGACCCGAAGGTTTGCTGCGAACAACGACAAGTAAGAAGCACCTTTGTCTGCTCTCGATCGATCGATCGATCGTTCCAACTCGCAGGTACTCTTCGGCGTTTCGAGAGAAATTGTAATAAAAAATACTTTCAGACGCCGCCGGTAGCTGTCACGAAAGACCCGGCGCCTCCAGACGTGACGAACCATCGCAACGTACATTTAGTAAATAGGGACGATTGCGGGCCTGTAACGCAATCGAAAATCCTGGGTGGTAACCAGACCAGTGTAATCGAGTTTCCGTGGATGGCGTTGCTCGCTTACGACTTGGGGAATCCGTTACCGGAATTCCGATGCGGAGGATCGTTAATTAACAAGCGATACGTACTCACCGCTGCTCACTGCGTCACGTCACTGCCAAGTAGTAAGCAAACAACGCGATACGTGCACGCATTTCGTATTATGTGCATATCGTGCAGTATTCCAAGATTGCACAGATATTATTCGCGTGTCAGAGGAGGAGGAGGAGGAGGAGGAGAAGGACACATGATCGATAGGAGCGTGTAATGTGCTTCAGATCTCAGACTGATCGGTGTGCGATTAGGAGACCACGATTTGGCGAGTGAACGGGACTGCGACAGGTATCCCAATGGTACTGAAGTGATTTGCGCCGCGCCGTACCAAGACTTCGAAATAGAAAGCACGCATCCCCATCCGGAATACTCGAGAGGAAAGTTGAAGAACGACATCGCTTTGATACGATTGTCGAGGGACGCGGATATTGGGCCTTCGAATGTCCGGCCGATCTGTTTGCCGATCGGAACGGCAGTTACCCCGACTCAGACGAAGGTAACGCGTTCACGATTATTGTCATTTACATTTGTTTCCGTGTCTCGTTTCGTGTCACCCTGATTTTATCATCCGGTCGATGTGTCACGTCGCGTTATTGCGATTTTTACGACACGTGATTTGTACACAGGTAAGAGTGACGGGCTGGGGCGCCACCGAGAAAGGAACGAGAAGCTTGAAACTGTTACAGGTGTCTTTGTCACCGGTGAGCTTGGAGGAGTGCGCGGAGACTTACAAGAGTAAAGTACAGATCTGGTACAAGCAGATGTGCGCGGGCGGTAAAAGCGGCAAGGATTCCTGCCAAGGAGACAGCGGTGGACCGCTTCAAGCTCCGTCCGTTTACAACAATAATCCGATATACGTACAGTACGGGCTTGTCAGTTTCGGCCCTCAAAATTGTGGCACGGAAGGAGCTCCTGGTGTTTACACCAGGATCCTCTATTACATGGATTGGATCTTGGACACCATCAGGTCATGAACCAACGCGCAGTCACCTCTCTCGGTCCCACGACGTTCCGAAGCAACGAGCAGCGTGCAGGCATTTTGAATGCGAATCGGCGGATCGAATCGCGATGCGAACGTGACGTCTCTAACGTTTGGTAGGAGTTCGTGTATACAAGTCCTGTTTACTATGCAACTTGTTACATTACGATTATACATGATTGCATATATTGATCGCGTCACATAATTTTTATCGCTCCAACTTTTTTAACGTTCAAACGAATTCTCGGAAACTATTATTTTAATATATGCGTGAATAAATAAATAAATAAATAAATAAATAAATAAATAAAGGAGGAAAGAAAGAAAGAAATACAATTTGGAAGCTTAAAGATACTCGATACGACATCGATACTTCGCACAAACTTCCTCCGATCATCGTCTCATCGCAATTAATCGTAAGTACGTAACACGACACGGGCAGAAAGAAGAATTAAATTAAATAGTTGAATCGCTTACTATCTCGTTGAATTATCTTCGACGCTCCGTAAATCTTCATTGCGATCGTCAGAGTTCGAACGCTCACCGACGCGCATCCCTTGTTCATCGTCCTTTCGATCTTCGATCAGCTCCGCGGTCTCGTTTATAGAAACTTTTAATTGACTGCGTTGCAGCCTACTCCTCGACGCCGACCATCGAGGTTTGATCGTCGATTTTTCCGAATTCTTAGTGGACGTAGACGTGTCGGATGACGACGACGACTTCGTACACGACTGGCTGGCCGAAACGAGGATACCCGAGGAACTGGTCAGCGACCCAGAATCAGATCTGGACACATGTTCATCGTCCATGTACAACTCTACGCTGCTCGATGCTCTCCCGGGATGCTTCTCCTTTTTTTTCCGTCGCAACCTCTTCGAATCGCTAGCTTTCCGTTGGGGTTGTGCCAGAGGCGGCGGCGGCGGCTTCTACGTTCCGACGACAATTATGAAACAAATAGCCAGTCAGCTCCGTGTGACCGATTCTGTGGGTGAAAGAAGCGCAAATTGTACTCACTTGGGAATGACGTTCGAAGAGAGTCGGTATCTGCGTCACGCGATCCAACATCATTTCCATTTGCAATCGATGACGTTCCGCTTGTTCGCGAGCTTCGTCGCGACGAAGCGAAGTTCGAATACTTATATCTCTTTCGTGTTCATGCCTTTACAATTGAAAGTTATTAATCATGTATTCATCGGGGACGACATATTCAGAGAGCAACCTTTGCGCGATACTCTACTCGTTAGAGAAAAGAAAAGAAAAGAAAAGAAGATATCCAATCTTAGTTCTAAGGAATCGCACCTTGCCGCAGATCTCAAAGCTCGCCATACTGGATTACGTCCGACCAAACATTCTCTAATTTTCGCTTCCTGTTCCCGTCGTTTCTCTTCCATCTTTTCTCTTATCTCTCGTTCTAATTTCTCCCTACGATACGTGATGTACGTGAAATCGATTCGATCAAAAAAGAAAACAAGAGGAGGATAGCAAGGTAACGTGACAAAACATCTGACACACACACACACACACAGACCGTACCGAGAAACTTGACATCTCAAAATTGCTGCTAAGTTGTTTCCTCGCACAGGTATTAGCGACGACATCGTAGATCTGCATCTTTCCAATGGTACCGGATCGTTGTCCAACGCTGGCGAGGTGTTTTCATTTGTAGTATTCTCGTTAGAACGCTTGGTTAGACCCTGCGTACGCGCAAATGCAGATTTCGCGCGTTCTCGTCTAGCCATCGACGGCGGTAACGAGGATGACTTCATCAATTGCGCGGCTCTCACTTTCTTCTGCAGTTGCCTGAAAAAGAAAATATCGCGATACATTTCGATCGATTTACGAACAATCCATTTAGTTTATACCTACCGACCTGTAATATTCGTCTTCGAGCATGCGATCGTACACTTCGGTACTAAACAGATTTCTTGGTACGGGTTTAGCCTTGAACTTGACACCCGTCTCAACGGTCTTGCCACGAAGCTCCGGACTGGATCTTGCCAAAGATCTCCAGGCTCGTCGGTCGCATTCGAGTTTGAAAGGTCGTACTTGAGACATTAAATTTAATGCGCTCTCTTCGCGAATCATGCGACTCCTAAACAGGCGAAACGACTTAATTTTAACTGCGTGTCTTCGTCGTCGTGCCAACTGTGTAAAATGACAGAGAAAGGACACGCGCACCGCTGTTCCTTCTGCGCCAACAGTCTATCGTAAAGCGGAAGTTTCGAGGTGAGCGGGATCGGTCTTACGCGTCGCCTCTTACAAGCACTTTTTTTACTGTTTCTGAAATTTCTACGATCCTCTTCCTGTGTCTCGCCGCCGCCGCCGCCGCCGCTGCCGCCGCCGCCTCTCATATACTTGTCCGCTTCCTCTCTGAAATAAGTACCGTCGAATTCATTTCGAGATCAGACGGTCAATTAGCTGTCAGAGAAGGTGCATACGATGCTGCTGCACCTCAAGGTAAAAGTAAACGGCTTGGGTACGGTAGGATGCCATTCTTTCGAATCGTTTCCTGGCAAACTTCTCGTCTCCATGGTGTCTATATCGCTACCAATATAGTCATCGTTATTTAATTTGTCCCAAACATCCCAATCTCTGCCATTGATTAAATACACTTTCTCCTTACACTGATTCTCATCTTCTCTTTCTCTCTCGTCGCATCTAGAATAAGACTCTGATCAGCTCTGACTTTGAAACAAATTAAACGAAACAAAATTAGTTTTCCTTTATAGCCGCGTGTACGTACCTGGTTGTCCCGGGAGGATCCAGATCTTCTGCAAGTCTATTGAGTCTAGAAGAAACAAGTATCGGACTGGTAGCCCTACAATCTTCTAAATAGCATTTTTTCCCATTTAATGTCAGCTCATCGGTCGAGCTACTCTTACTTTTTGCTTTTTTTGATTCTCGATTCAATTTACACACTGAAAATTTCGACACGTCCTCATGATCGGCAAGCGAATTTTCTAAATTGTTCAACAATAACTTCTGTTTCCTCCTCAAGTGATCGACCTCTCGCTTGAACTGTTCATTCGATAAATGATGAACTTGACCGTAATCTGGTATGCTTCCCAAAAATTTCAGAAAATCGTCGACGATCTCTCTAGGACTAGACGACTCGAAATCACTGATCGATTCTTCGTTCCGCACAAAGTGTATCTTATCCCTTTCACCCCTTCTAGATTTCATACGTTCATACGACGGAGTTGGTTGTCTACTGTAAGGATCTACTGGAACTTTCACGCAGGAATTATAAAAAGACATGCCCTTGTGCTCCGTCATTCTCCCGATCTATTAAAACAAACCAACAAACAAACAAAACATTATTCTATACTGTCGACTGTAACGTCGAGTGAGTTGTTCGTCGACGACGTTTAAACGAAACATGGACTGAAAATGGTTCAACTGCTTATAAAACTTATCATTGTTTCGTTATTCGTATAAATAACCGCCCTCACCCGCGACAACTTTATCATCAGATATGTATATTTACCTGTTTATTCTCAAATGAAACGTTGCATCATTAATAGCATACACTCAAGAATTATTTGCATACCGATGAATGCACCGTTAATTAATGTTCATCGTTCGATACACTCGTTAAAGTTATAGCCGATTATAGTTACTTACTGTCATCGACAAAGCCTCGTTTCTCTGCAAATTTCACGACTCTCACCACGACTATTCGCAACACTCGCAGATCACTCGCAACTCGCAACTCGCAACGTCCTGGATAATCGTTGAACGCTGTATACCCTGCATACGTGTATGTAGATAGTAGTATGTACTGTACGAAACAACTTCTGGAAAAGATCAATGTAACCTCGGTATCTCGGTATACGTTCATATACTTAGGTGTCGGTCACCATGGTGAAGTAAAATGAGAAGTGATTGATAAAGATCTTTACAACAATTATACTTAATAATAAGAAATAGTGAAATGTTCTATATGGAGAGAGAAACGTCGATGAAGAGAAATGTCGAACAATTACGAGGAATTCACTGCGAAAGATCTAGCAAACTGGATCGTTTCCGGAGCAATAATTTTTGGCGGTATTATTCCGTACGTACCGCAATACAGAGAAATTAAGAAACGAGACAATGCAGACGGATTTTCGCTTTACGTTTGTCTCACACTTTTAATAGCTAATACGTTACGTATTTTCTTTTGGTTTGGGAAACGTTTCGAGGTACCTCTTTTGTTACAAAGTATACTGATGATCATCGCTATGTTCATAATGATTAAACTTTGTATAAATGTACAAAACAGAAATCAAGTGATCAAAGTCAGAGAACGTGTGTTCACAGGTAAGACAAAATGAGTATGTTTCCACGCGTAATGTTTAGGTGAGATTGGTATTGAACGTGAATTATCGTTCGTCAACTTGATTCAAACAGATTTTGACCCGAACTTCTTTTGGAAGTGGACAGATTTTCAATCTTACTTGGACTTCATTCTATTATTTGCCGCGTTCATGGGAATCTTGACCTATTTGTTAGTGGACGTACCAGCATTCGTGGAAACTATAGGATTACTGGCAGTATTAATGGAAGCTATGTTGGGGATACCGCAGTTCCTTTGTAATTTTTTTAACAAGTCTACTAACGGAATGAGGTTTGAAATTATTATATGACATACAGCGTGATTCGTCTGGACAATATATGGACGGCGTATATTTGTTGTTTGTATTTCAGTATCGTTATGGTCGGACTGTGGACGTTAGGTGACGCATTTAAAACATGTTATTTTGTCGTAAGAGAAGCTCCGATCCAGTTCGAAGTTTGTGGTGCTCTTCAAGTTATAATCGATATTGCAATTTTAGCACAGGTCTACATCTATCAGAATAGTTCGGCAGTGCATGCAAAAGTCCCGGTTCGAGTCGATTAAACGACCATGAACGACTGCTTGGACCGCCTGTGGTGGGTGACCCACTGTTTTCAACCGCACATTGTATATAGGATATTTTAATTGAAACCGCGATCAATCTCTAACGTTCAAATTAAACGTATACGATGTACGTGATAGTGATGAAAGAATTAGAGACAAGATAAAATGCACAATCTTTTACGAATTCTACTTAGCTGGTACATACATAGCTGACCGATGCGTAGCCTGCTGTCACTAGATACATACTAACTACATAACCTATGTGACATTCTTTTTATCGGTACATTTCAATTGTATTAAGTTGTACAAAACTTTATCAACTGACTACTGTAAATAAAATCGATATTAATTATATACATATATATGCATACGTATGTGTTATCAGCCAGCCCGTCATTTATGTGATCTAAGTAAGTACGTCACCTATACAATTACTACACTATGATAAGATCATGGATCAGATTCAATCATTCAAATGCCATTGAAATTCGCGGCCGGTTGTCGGTTCACGGTCATTCGTTTACTGCTGCCGAATCTGAAAACGCGTATACTAGCGTATACATTGTTGGCTGGGATACGAACAAACGTGGAATTAAATTAGAAACGTTGTTGATTCCCAAATTTACTGTTTTCGTTCACTATATATATACTAAGTAATTACTCGTGGGTTGTGCGCATAATTTCCAACGTGCCACTCAGCAACGCATGGAGATTCAGAAACAGTGGAAACAGTATACAGGTAGTAAAATACCTTTTCTAATAGTAATAAATGTTTACTAACGTTGAACAAATTATATTTGATGAGTGAACATTTCGATTAAGTATGAGACGAACGAATAGTCTGCCTGATTTAGCCTCCGTTCCGCAAAGTCAAGTTGTTCGATCGTGCTAAAGTTAGTTATAACCAATCTCCGAAACACATCGAATTTCGAATCGCTCTTTCCTGGTATATAATCGGCATGAAATTTAGTGGTTACAGGTGAAATAAAAGTTTGTTAATCATACAAGGTGGTGAACGGTGTAATGGGAGCGAGCCAACGAACCGATTGGAAACCTTTTATTTACGGGGGTCTGGCTTCGATCGTTGCAGAATTAGGTACGTGCATCTGTGCTTATGCTCACGTTATTATCGTTTATCACGTTATTTTATTCTTGTTCGTCAGGTACTTTCCCCTTGGACACGACCAAGACACGTCTGCAAGTTCAAGGCCAGAAATTTGACCAAAGATATTCGAGCTTGAAGTATTCTGGTATGACCGACGCGCTGTTGCAGATATCGCAACAGGAGGGTGTCAAAGCTTTATACTCTGGGTAAACTTGATTGAGTGTCACTCACCTTAATCGATGCCAAGTGCTTGGTTCCATGCTGAATATCGATGATGAATAAAACAGAACGATTCGGTTATGGATGCAGGATCAGTTCGGCTATCTTGAGACAAGCTACTTATGGAACCATCAAATTCGGTACTTACTATTCGTTAAAGAACGCAGCTATGGATAGATGGGAAACGGATGATCTGGTCGTCATAAATGTTGTGTGCGCTGCGGTGGCTGGTGCAGTTTCAAGTGCTATAGCCAATCCCACAGACGTAGTAAAAGTTCGTATGCAAGTAACTGGAAGTAATTCGAATCTATCGTTGTTCGGCTGTTTCCAAGACGTTTATCAGCACGAAGGTATTCGTGGTTTGTGGAGGGTATGTAAACCAGCGTACGTACATGGGTCATCTACATTTCTCGACTGTTCTTATCCTTGTTCATCTTGTGTAATTGTGAAAGTGTTCTTTATCTCATAAAACGTTGCTTGCTCGCTTGTCCGCGTGTGCAGGGTGTAGGACCTACCGCTCAGAGAGCAGCGATTATAGCCGCCGTAGAATTACCTATATACGATTACAGTAAGAAGAAATTGACAAGCGTACTGGGAGACAGTGTCAGCAATCACTTCGTGTAAGTAAACTGTCTAATTCACTTCCAATCTAACGTCACTCTTTCAGTCATTCCATCAAATTTTATATAGTTCTCATCAATATCTACTACATGTTTTTATCTATAGTAAAAACTAAAACGACACGACCTGACCTGAAGACTGTCAGTCTTAACTTGTCCACCACCTTTAATATAACCGTCGAAATTATTTCGATTAACCCTTATCCGGGCTGTACATGTCCATCGCATAACATTTATCGTGTTAACAGATGTTCAATAATATTTCTGAACCAGAGCCAACTGAACGTACTTTTTCACAATACGTTAGTGAATACGTTCGAATGTGAAAATTTATCTATCAAATCTCTTTGCCGATCGACCATCGAAAATATTTATGTTCAGTTTTGTATAAATGTTTAACGAACGATTCTTTGTCTGGTTACTATCATTTGTTGATAGAGTGAACTTGTACGACCGTCTGTTGTGATCGACTAATAAAAATAAAACTGTCTGGTTGAATTTCATCGATTAATCGTGTGATCATGTCGTCGTATATTCGCGTATTTTTCGAAAGGAAGTAATATTTTTCTAAAAGTGAAAAATTTTATTTCCAGGTTCTTTTGCGCGCGCGCGCGCGCGCACACACACACACACACGCTCTCTCTCTCGCTCCCCCTCATACACGTGTTGCGTACCGGCACGTGCAGAGTAATACGTGGACATTGAGATGATCACAGAGAACCAGAATGGAAGTTGCTTTTAATGTTTATTGTTCATAGAAAAGTTATACGTCAAAACTGTTATCCAGATGACCCCATGTGTATCACCAATGCATCATTATCAGAGAGTTCTCGGTTAGCCACTTTTTCAGTTTACACACAGATTTTCTATTTCTGTTTTCTTACTCTTGTTTCATTCCTTCGTTTCGATTCTATACATTTCGTTTCCTACGTCATCTTTCGTAACGTACAGATTTCTTTCGTCTCGTAACCGAACGTGTGTCTGTATCGCACACATCGCGATGTGCCCTTCATATCTACAGTAAAGCCTGGATAAGGGTCGTTTCAGTTCGCCGCAATACGCCGGCAATACGGGAATTGAACGTTACACATCGAATCGCACAATACCATTCTTTTGTCTACATGGTATAATTACATGTTTCAGGTCCAGCTTTGTAGCCAGTATGGGAAGTGCAGTAGCCTCCACTCCCATAGACGTGGTTCGTGTAAGTACAGTGCAATTAAGGATGTATTGGCTATACAGTCAGTCCCAAAAGTTTATATACCTTAGAAAAACGCATTCCCTATAATTAAAAATAGTGCATTCTTCTTCTAATTTCGATATTTAATGAGTTACATATGATTATATGGCATTTTATTGATGTCCACAAAATCCGACCATTCCACCGTCGAAACGGCGAACTTTTGGAAAAAAATTTCGTTTTTTGCCCATAACTCCCAAACGGATGGACTTAGAGGAAGATTTGTAGGACCATTTTGTAGGGGACGACGAGATCTACAATTTCTGTATAAAAATTCTTCGCTAGCATCAATACTTAACGAGTTATTGACGCAAAACGAAAAGACAGTTTTTTGCAAATTACTCGTTAACTACTGACGCTAGCAAGAAATTTTTATACAGAAGTTGTAGATCTCGTCGTCCTCTACAAGAAAGATCATATACAATTTTTCCGTAAGTCCATTCGTTTGGGAGTTATTGGCAAAAAAACGAAAATTTTGCCAAATCTGAAGGGGTACCCTTTGGAAAAATCTCGGAAAAATGAAAAAAAATTTTTTTGTTGTTTATTATTAGCAATGTTCTTCCGACGTCTGATTTCTTTTTAAAAAATGCGTTTCTAAAGTGTATAAACTTTTGGGATTGACTGTATAGCCAATACATCCTTAAATCGATGTTCGTTGCCCGTTATTACGTACTTGACAAAAACGATGTCATTGCAGACGCGATTAATGAACCAGAGGAGGATACACACGGCAGGTGTGTTACCACCTCATTTTTATAGCGGTAGCATAGATTGCTTCGTACAGGTACGATACCAACTAACTACACGCGAGACGAAACAACTAAACAGTAACCGCACGATGACTCGTTTCAATAACGTTCCATTTTTCGTTCGTTCTTTTAAAACAGACTTTTAAAAACGAAGGCTTCCTGGCTTTGTACAAAGGTTTCGTACCCACTTGGTTCAGGATGGGACCATGGAACATAATATTTTTTATAACGTACGAACAGTTGAAGCAATGGGATCGTTCGCATTTGTCGCTAAAGAAAATGTTCGATCAATCGGATGAATAGCAGCACAGCTAACGACTCACTAATTTTAACTGAAAGAACGCAACAGATGAGGCGGGCGAAGTACACGTACGTAGGTGTGTGTGTGCGTGCGTGTGTGTGTGTGTATCGAGAGAGAGTAGCTTAGCGACGACAAAACGATGTAACGATAAAGTAATTGTACATTCTACTCGTATAACTTATTTTCATAGATATCGACGATCGAAGCGTTTATCGTGTAGAGTATTCAGTAACTATGACTAGGTAAAAAGTGATCAAGTCCTCTCGTTGCTAATAACGAGCACCGATGAAAGTATTTATAGTAAATAGTATATATGAAAATAGTTGATTAAAAAAATGTTCCTTTCACGATTAATCGTGAAGTTTCACCCTACTAGTCAAGTTTGATTTACGATCGTAGAGCACAGAGTATCGGCAGATTGTAAAAGGCTTCGTCTAACGATGCAGATTCTCTTGAAGTAAACTTATTCGCATGTTCGGGATTTCCGATTGCTCTGAGAGCAATATCTTATGTTGTTCCCATTTGAAAGCTCGTCACTATTAGTACAGATGTTGCAAGACTGACAACGACCGTTAGGACGTAGTATGTAGTACAAAGATTCAAAGAACACAGAAAAACTATTCACTACGTATCATTGTCTGACGATGAATATCTAACGAAATAATGCACACACCGTGAAACGTCAAGTGTTCGCAGAGAATCTCCTGTTAAAATGAATAAAGAGACATCGTTTTAAATTTACATTTAACATTTAACCTTGTGAATTTTATTGTTTAAGTTAAACCATATGTATAACGATACAATATAACATGATGAAAAATATTGTAATAAACATGCAACGGTCTGTAGACTGTGGACAACAATGGCCGTTTCAACGATTTCTTACCGATCTTTTATATTAAATACATTTTTCTTATTGCCTTTTTTACCGCGTCCACGCGAATCTTAATCCGTTTTTTGATCGTGAATCGCGAACAAAGAAAAGCGAAAAATCACACGGTCGCGTCGTAGTCGCACGAAGGCCAACGAAAAAAATTACACGTGTTTACACTCCCAGACGACGATCTTCCTATCCCTTCCACCGGTTAAAACTATATTATTTTCTGCGGATAATGCATCGATTGGTCCTATAAAACATGATTGGCTTTGATTAATTTAAGGAGACAGATTATCGTGTCGTATTGAAGGGAACGTGTCGGTTCAGCATGCGCAGTGTTACCGTACCATCGTGACAATGTATTTGCGTAACAAAAATTCCACCCTGACCGCTCCACACGTTAACGTTACCATTTCTATCGCCTATCAATAAAAATGTGTCGAACCACATCAACGTCAAGGGCTCGTGCTCCAGGGTTGTACGATAAATCATGCTACTCGTATGAACATCGATTACATTCAATATTTTGTCCTCGCCGCAAGATATAATGCTCTTTCCTTGTTCATCAAATACCATCGCATTTATCCTGCGAGCGTGCGCTGTGCAAAACGAAAATAATTTTGTGTGTGTGTGTGTGTGTGTGTGTGTGTATGTACGTGTGTGCATCAGAACGATGAACGTGGATCACCTCCATCCGCGAGAGACGTACCTTTCACGTTGAATTCCAAGTTGTACGTATCCATGTTCCATAAAAAAGCTTCTCCGTCCTCTGTACCGGATACTAGTAACGTTTCATCTCTGCTGACACAAAAATGTTCTTCTACACGTTCTGAATCAAGACTTGGTCGCGAGAACGTAAGAGAAATCATTTTATACCCTGATATACCGACGCAGGTCACTTTCGAGTCATGATCCAATTGCGCGATAAGGCACTCGGCGGGTTTGATCTTCGACCCGGAAGTATAGCTCTGCCAAACTTTGGCTGTACAATCCCACGAACCAGAGATGATAATGTTACGATCAGAACTTAATGCTAAACAGGAAACAGCGTCTTCGTGACCTTGCAACGTATCTATCACTCTACCGAACTCGATGTCGTAAAATATTCTATGAAAAAATATGACAAAACAGGGTAACAGACGACAAGAGCACGATACCATATACGTTATTAATGAAATTGCTGCATGGCGTCGATTGAAATGTGAGGTAAGTAATAAATATACTTGCAGCGAATTATCCCAGGAACCAGCGACCAATATGTTCCGATCAGAAGACGTATAATACGATACGCACGACGAAAGCGGCAACGACGACAAAGATATGCTACGTGTTAATTTTTTACTTTTTACACTGTACAATTTGAGCATTCCGTCTTGTCCGACCGATATCACTTGGTTCATTTCCTCACTGTTTTTCGTTACAGTAACGATGCTGCTGACACTTTCTTTATGGGATTGAAATCTCATTAATTCTCGCAACTGAAAACTGTTGGTTGTAGTAGGTAGATTTTCTTCGATCTCTACGAATTTTTTACGTTTCATCAGTCAACGACGACGACGACGACGACGACGACGACGACGACGACCAACAATGACAAGTTTAAACGATTTGAAGAGCGCGCACAAATTGAACACCGGTCAGAAGCATATATAGCAGCGTATATACTTACGACCATCTGTTTTACTTTCAATCGCCACCGATGAAAACGACGACAAGGACGACGTTGGAATCGTTTCGATCGAACGACACAATTTCTCTAGATTAAATACAGAACGCTTTGGATGTGGTAAAGTAAATATCTGTTTTGGTATTTGTCCAAATTCCATGATTTGCACCTCCATACCGTGTCTATCGTTAATATCTGTAATCGTATCTAGGTCTACTGCTCCTTCGTAGCACAAATGAAAAAATACTGTAACGTATAAAACGGCAAGTTGAAACGTGTTATGTCCGTTAGACATCAGCAGCGGCGTCGATCGAATCGATCGACAGCAACAACAGCATCGACTACGTTGGGTCGGCTGGTCGTTGGTTTTACTTTACCATTGTCAGCTTTCTCTGCTTCGATTCCTCTTTGTTTATAGCCGAAAATCAAGTCGATCCAGTGACACAGATTTCGAGACACGTATTCACTCTCCATAGCATTTCGTAACACTTGTACAAAGTGAGCCGGCCCTGGAATTTACCCGAAACATAGGATCACATCACCCTCGAGATTATCGTACTTTGAAACGACCGACGATTTACAGCTTCGATCGGTCGGTGGTCGGTATATATACGTACCGTTCGCCCACGGTGGTAATTGTACATCTCCTATTTTTGTTCCATCGTGTCGATAACCGAAATCAATACCGTAACTATTCACTAAAAAATCACCACCATTGTTTGTGTCATAAAATTCCGGGGTCAGTTCTTTAAAGTCAGACATGTTCACCAAAACATTTTTCCATACGTCAGCTACACTGTTAGGTGTTTTTGTTGGTAAGAGTGAAACAAAAAATCGTTTCTGCAGAGTCGGACGGAGTAATTATATATATGTACTTTCACAATACGAAAAGCGGTCACCATTAAATTCTGCCCTCTCTGTACGATACGAAATTTTACACACACGCGCGCGCACGCACACGCACACACACGCACACACACGCACGCACACACGCACGCACGTCTCTTATCGTTACTACTGCTATCACACGTACCATAGGTACAGATTTTACTTTTGCAGAATCACGCCCCCGTATGCGCGCCCATATAGTACATACCTATTGAACATCCTATCCGGATGATCGAACCTTCCGTTTTGTAAACATAGCATGTACTGGGGATATTTCCGTACTAAATAAAATAGTACAAAACCGGGCGTGCTGTAGTGAGAGCCGTACAAGAACTTTGGTTCCGACATTTCCAAATACCGCTCCTAGATCATCAGATACACGAGACATGGCCGTTATCTCACATTTTTTCAGACCCGTCGTTGCCTGCTGCCTAATCGTAGATGATAAAACACGATCAAAAGAAATACCTTCAATCTCTCTAACCGATTCGGTTCGAGGGCTCCGATAGGCTTCGTAAGATCTCTATAAATGGTAGGATCGTTCAGATCTAAAGTGTCCGACGTGTAATCCTGCAGTACCCACGGCATGATTGGATATTGCGTCAAATCGTGAAACGTTCTATCCGCCAGACTGAAATGGCGAACAAACGTTTATTTGAAAATCTGCCAGACGTCCGGCAAACTGTTCGTCAGCTTCGTTTACCTGTTAATGTACAGAAGATAATCGTAATTCGACAAAGTACCATTCTGCCATCTTATGGTCATTTGATCCTGAGGTACTCGGTCCAAAGAAACTGTCGGCTGACTCAGTAAACTCGTGTACAATTGATCCCTGTCGTTTTGATTTTTCAACGATACAAACAAATGTTCAACTTTATTTTCTGGTTGTTTCGACCAATTAATTTCGAGTCCCTGCACCGACGATAGACAGAAAATTTGATATATCGCAACGATCGAGACGATGGAACGACAAAAGATATAACAAATAAATGCTCACAATTTGTCGCAACAGAAATCTCCTTTTAATTATATTAACGACGTCCTTCGACTGTATCTTTAGGACCGGATGCTGAAGCGAGTCAAAATGCATTAGACGTTTCGATGATTCTCCTATACCACCACCGCCGCTGCCGCCGCCGCCGCCGCCGCTGCTGCCTCGCCTCGAAAATACGTACTTGATCTAAATTGTTGTAAGGTTGAAAATAGATTCTTGCAGTCGTCAGAAGTATTCTTCCGGGATTTATGACCAGAGGCAATACTTTGTTCGCTTGAGTCTCCAGTACGACTTGCTCGTACAGATCTTCTAACCACGACGTGTCGAATGATACTCTGGACTGCCGAGAATGCACGATAGCCATGATCTGCAACAACGATTTCACCTGACCTGACTCCAAATTTCACTCACGGAAGAATCAACACTTGGGAACAATAAAAGAGTGAACGAATGGAACTACCATCCCATTCTGCTCAGCAGTTGGCAAAGTGGCTGCTCTGAATAACTGTAAAATTTGTGGGAGACAGTCGTCCACGTTCGCATAATTCAAGTAGAAGTGGAAAGTGGTAGCCTGATGAACGAATTCGTACGGTGCTAATATATTTTTCTCCAACATTTTCACGTACTGTTTACATTCGACCGATAATACGTTGCCAGCTCTGTGTAAAAACAAGAAACATAGTTTCTCTGTCGATGAAACTTAAATCGTATCAACGACACGCATAAAACGGACATGTAATGATATTAACTTTGCCATGTCCCTACAAGATTCACATCGATCAATAGCGGTTGCCTCTTTCAGTTGAATCTTAATCAAAGGCTGATTAATATCCTTGTTCACGAACACTAGAGACTTGGAGCATAGTTTCAATCTACCGTCTATCCATTTTTGTTCCTCCGACCGGGAAACGTCGAACACCTTCGTTTGAACGCTATAATCTTCGAAGAATATTTCTCCTGGTTCCAAAAGAAGCATGGTGAATCTGATCGAGAAATAAACTCAAAGGATCAACCAATTAATTGTCATGTGTCTCCAGTTAACATCAAATTAATGCATGCACGAACATGCCAAACTAATTTTTACATTTTCCGACTGCACACCCTGTTACAATAAACGTTTCAATTACCTTTCCTTCTCCATCGTTGCAAATGTAAATTATAATAGTAAACACATAGAACGAACAATGCCCATCGCTCAATTAAACATTTTTTTATCGGCATCAGATTTTAAGCGCTTTTCGTGATCGATTTCCATCATTGATCCGTGAATAATGGTATAAACCTTTTGTTAGGTTAATGACAGCGATATGACTCATCGTTCGTACATGTATGTTTGTACACACACACACACGCATACAACCGAGGAAACGTCCGGTAAAGGCAATGCGATGGTTTGGAGGAATTACATCGTGATATTTTTTGACACTACGACCAACTACGACGCGTCTAAAAGCTGTACGTATATACGCTGACGCTATATGTACAATAACGACGATGTCGCAGCAACCAAGAGGAGGCGGAGGACAAGAAGAGCAGGAAGTGCCATTTCAGACGCGTGCAATGCATAGGCTACAGCCTACAGCTAGAAGTCATACACGTATAATAGTTCGTATATATAT